GTTAACGTATTTCCTCATTAAAGAATCGTCTATATTTACAGTGGATCTTAACCAATGTTCAGTTTAGAGTTAGAAATTAACCTGAATGCAATTCATGTTCATTAGATTATGATTTTGTGGAAGGTTAAGCACCAACTAACCACGCATGAAAAACTTTTCTGAGCTACCTAAACTGTTGTTCTTAATCTGTTTCTCTCCACATACTACAATCTTCCCCATTGAATCAGTCTACAAGCTATTCCCTTGTACGTAAAACTACAATGCATCTTAGTCTACAGGTTTGTTACAGACTATTATGGGTTACTTTTCAATAAGTCCAATGAGAAAAATACAAAACACACATATCATTCACTAGTAGATCTTGTCTGTCACATTGTACGGTGTATGTCCTAACAAGTTGAGTTCAAGAAAATCAGTTTTGTAGATGTATGTAGAAATTATGAATCAGTTCACAACATTTATCTACACAGTAGGTTCAGTGTCGTACAGTTAATGACAGTATTTACAGAATAACCTGTCTATTAGACAACAATCAGTATATGTGGCACACTATTACAAACAGCGCAATGCTATCTCGGCTTTTCTTGACTGAATTTGCTGGCATTTGTTTGAGTATGGACTCGAGTCTCAGGCGAAACACGGCCTTTCAGTAAGATTCAGTCAATCACACTCAGTTGATGAATCATAATCAGGACGAAATCGAGTTTTGAGTTCTTATTAACAAGCCAGTTATACCAGAAGTAACCTTTAATAGACCAGAAGAAGGATTACTTTGCAGAGCATTAAAGAGATAATAAGTAAACGAAATGTAGAAGATACTAACACCAACTTGGGTATGACAGTGATCGCTCATCAGTGACATAAAATAACAATGTAAGGCATATCTTTAATTCATGGAGGTTGGATACCGACCTACTGTCCTAATGATGAACAATCTTTAACTTGAATGAAATTCCTACACACTGATGACCATTTAGTACAGCTCATAGTAATTCGGGTTCACAACGAAACCTATTGCATAAAAAATTTCAGTCAATGATGACATACATTTTCACAGTTTTAGAAGGTACTGAATTTTGAGTCCTGTATACACATCGGAGCATAGAATTACTTAAAGCGTCTAAATGTAGGATGGAAATACAATTTTTAATGTCGTCACCATTAACTCAATGCAAAAAAGTCTACACGGCAATTTAATGACTAACCATAAAAACTATGCTGGTAAGAAATCATTACCGTTTGATAAAAAATTAGTCTTTTATGCTGACTAGTGCTATAAGTGGTAAATTTTGACGAGAATTTTAAAGACAGGCAGACAACACTTCAAGATAACCAAAAAAATTTCAGACTACTTATTTACTTTATCAAATTTAACCTCATATTTAAGTATAAAAAAAGCATTTCATTATTTGTAACAAATAAATCTTAATATCTTTTCTATGTAACACCCAAAAAACTAATAATATGTATGAGTTTATTAGTGATTTTTAATTTCACTTATTTTTCATCCTTAATTATTCACAAGTTTTTATCCAATGGCAGATGGTCAGAAAAAAGAAAATATTTAGCGCTTCACTTACACACAATTGGAATCTTTAAGTATCTTTAAAGTTCCATTAGTAATGTCGGAGGCGGGTTTAGATAAGTGTTCATTTAGCACATGACAATTCCAAATACTCATGTGCTTTGTAGTCGCGAATAAATTACTTTTTTTATTCACTTAAGCGTTAATGTTGCAGTAAACTGTTTTCAAACAACTTACTTATTCACTTATTAATAAAATATGTGCCATATATATTATGGATACAGGATGGCTTTACTACACTAGGAGTGTATATGGCTTTAAATAATATTTATATATATAAAGGATTCATTTGTATTGTGAAATTAAGTAATAGAGTAAAAACCAATTGTAGTGGGAGAAAGTGAAATTTAACCTAATAGGATTTTTCCATTTTGCATTAAATCTGACTTGACTGATAGAATACAGTCTGCACCAAAGATAGGACGAGGCACACACATTACACCAGTTAGTGACTAGTGTCCAATCAAAAATACCTAATACAGTCCCACAGGAGGGGACATGAGTTCCTTCAAGGTTGCAGATACGCCTTGCTGACTGGTGAGTGTCAACTAGCACTAAAACTAACTAGGTCCAAGGCCTCCTGCCGATCGCCTCCAACCATCTTATACCAAAACTAACTTCTTATGAATATGATTTCAATAACTTTGCTTTTGTGTGTTTCTACTTTTTCAATCCTCTCAGTTATAATACTCTGGTTTCTTACTTAATATCTACTAAATACTTAGAGTAATTTCCAGTAAATGCAATTCACTGGAATAAATTTAATGAACACAGTTCTCTCTTTGAAATGATTTAGAGGATCTGATTTGAAGCTGATTTACGATGTCACTAAAATGATTTCTGACTGAAAAATGTCTTCATTGATAGTCTCCTTTAGTCATCAATTAGTCTGGTTGACTAGAAATGCCTTCCAAAAAAAGGGAAAGTGTGGTAATGACTGGAAATCATCGTCTTTAGGAGAAAAAGCCTCACACTATCAGAAGTACTTAATAAATAATGAAATGATTCCAGTGGAGTTATCTAAATGTTTACCGATAATTTAAGCATTAAACAATAATAATAAACACTTGAAAAGTATTAGTAAATTTTAAAAATTCTAATTCTATGATTGATTATTACTGAGAATTCCACAAGAAAGGCAGAAATCAAAATGAAGTTTTTCTCAATTCATAAATATTCATGAAAAAGTTTTTTATCCTTCACGTTCCCCAGTGGAACATAGGGCTTCAAGCTAGTGGCTTGAAGTTTCTGAAAAAGTTTAGTCTTCTAAAAGGTTACAAAGCTCAAACGTAGTAGCAAACAAAGCTTCCTAACGAATATTTGACGACCATATGCATTTTACATACTAATGAGGGAATATATTCAGCGCTAGCTCCTCTATGAATTTGTTGCGTGATATATTTGATACCCCTCTATGTACTATAATACAATCACGTCTTCACGTCTTATAATATGCTATATGCTGTGTACAACAAAATACCAACAATGTTGTATGAAAAAGCACAATAGAAAACTTTAGAAAGTGTATTATTACCGAAACGGGACTTTTAAAGTACGGGAATAAGAGCCTAACGGTTCGGGTGTGCGTAAAGTATGTGTAAAACAAATCGAAAACCAATGTTCAATTATACAATGGTAAATACTGCGTGAGCATACGTAAAACTAATTTTCGTAAAAGTATAATGAAGGTACATGAATTAATTTTAGGCGCGTTCAGTTACAGTCAGTAAAGGGGTACAATAAATTTACTTCTAAATGTGATGTCTAGATGAACATTTAGAGCTCATCAATGAATCACTTTATTTATGTGAATTTTTGATACACTGTCAGCGCTTCAATATGAAAAATACACTGAACTGTTTGGCAGTGGTATTAGACAATAACATGTAGACATTTTTTATTTCAGTGTGTTTTGAATGAACATCCCTTCCTCGTCAGTCAAACAATTATACCTATTCCAAAACGTTTTATTTAGTATTTTAGACACTTAGCACAAAACCTAGGTCCAAGGCTTCCTGCCGATTGCCTCCAACCATCTAATATCATCACAAACAATGTACATCTTGATGGTGAGCTACCCAGAATAGTGGCCACATTACAACCTGACTGAAAGAATTCAGTCTGCACCAAAGAGAGGACTAGACGCATCACACTAGTTACTAGTGTCAAATCAAAATATCCGCTACAGTTCTACATGAGGTCAATCGCGAGCCCTAATAGCTCAATGGTAACATCTCTGACTGCAGCACTGAGTTACGTGAGTTCGAATCTCAGAAGGGATATGAGTTCCTTCAAGGTTGCAGATACGCCTTGGTGACAAGTGCCAACTAGCACGAAACCTAGGTCCAAGGCTTCCTGCCAATTGCCTCCAACCATCTAACAGACATCTATACTGTTGTGTATTTCAGAAAAATTCATTCAAACTTCACTTGTGTAATTGAATATAATTAGTGATATGCAACAATGTAGACTGAAAATTTTATTGCCTTGACAACTATTATGAAATGATATGAAGAAATGGTCACCAGGCATAATACACATGTTTTAATTTTGTTTGAAGACTTCCGTTTTTGATAGGACTTTATTCAAGACAAAATTTTAGATAAGCTTGTTTGATACTCTGGTAATGAATAAATAAAAGTCGTAATGGATGAAAGAATTTTGCCTGGTCTCTGTTTGGGTATTCACTTGAGTCTCAGATAGAAGACGGTAAACGCAAGCTTTACAAGTACATGACACACACAGACATTTTCTAATGACAATTCAGTAATACCTAAATAAACGTTTTTATCAGTATTTTGAATGCATTTAGATAATTCAAATACCTGAATGTGAAATTCATTCTTTCAAAGGATGAACGAAATTGTTGCATGAAGAAAATATTAAACAGTTTAGTAAACTCAGAAATTACAACCCAAAGCGTGCTGTATAATGAATAGCTTGCTTGCTAGCTTGATAGCTTGATTATAGCTTGATTTCACACCGTCTTTTCGGTACAAGTATGGAATTTTCAGCATGTGATATCGGTAGCCCAAATTTTGCAGGCCGACCATTGATATCGGCTATGCGTTGGCAGGGGATCGGACCCCAGACCATGTGCATGGTCGGCGAGAGTGCTAACCACTGTGTCACCAACGTGCGCTGATACTCTAAGATACTCATCAGAGATGCATAAATATGCTAGTACTTGTTTTCAAAGTACATGATTCATCAGAAGCACGGCTTAATTTCGGTTTTACTCAAACTAGTATATAAATTTGAGTTACTATCTTAGTCTAATAGAATGTACCTATTACACAATAAGCACTGGCAGTCAAATATCAAAACACATGACTGTAGCTCAGACAACCAACATTTTAATAGAGGTATAAATGATTACTAATGACCTAGTGATAAAATGCAAAGTAAACATTACCTTAGAAAACTGAATTGCTTATTTCTCCCAAAATAACAATATATTAGGAAATGAAACGCTGTTTTATTATTTATATACCTGCAAATAATCCACCTGTTTATTAATCTCCCAATCAGGAATTAGATCACTAATACAAGTCGGCTTCATTGGATAACTCTCTGTTTCGGAAAAAAATATGGGTAGTGAATACATGTCACTAAAACACTGAAGAAGCAACTTTTATTCAATACTGTATTTTTATAAACTTATATCTATGAATGTTTTTTCAAAAATTCTTGTTTTTGAATTAATAAGGTTTTAAAACTACAAAACATTTTGTTTCTACAAAGAGAACAAAATAAATGAAAGGCGAGAATGAAGGTATTTGCATTCACTGTGATTCACTATGTACCTACTCAGCCGTAGTGCAATTTTTACCAAGTCAAAGCTCTTTCAGCATGTTCTTCAGGAAGTCAAATCATACGCTGACAATCTTTTTGATTCATTAAGGTATTTTTATATTATTGGTAGACAGCATGAGTGGGATTTGTCTCCGTTACGAGTCGCCAGTGCGAAATTGAGACTTCCGTTAGAGATGCATTCATCACAAGCAATGGGAAATGGAAATTTTATCACTCGTATTGCTTTTTTTATTCCTTAGCGTTCCCAATGGAACATACGGCTTCAAGCTAGAGGCTTCAAGTTTCTGTAGTAGTGGTATTCATTTTTACGGAATGGGGTTGCTAGCCTCATGCTCAACCTTCCCTCTTTACCAGTCGTATTAGTGGCTTAGAAAGGTACAGGAGTCCGTCGGCTGGGAATCAAACCTTGGACCGCCTCCGTGGTCGGCGAGCATTCTACCACTGTGTCAATGGTATTACTTACTTTCCAGAAAATAAGTAACTCATCAATCGGTTTGTCGAAAGTTATTAAGTGATTCGTTCACCTGAATTTGTAATTCACTGGATCCGAATTCCGATAAAAGCGACAACATATATGTTTACCTGCAGGCATGACTGAAGTCTTTATGTCGATACCAGTGGTGTTTTCTAACAATTTTCTCCTCGAAGTCTATTTTGTGTTCTTCGAGTTGTGATGTTGGATTGTGGACGTTTCATCACTAGGCTTAGTGACATCTTCAGCTCTCACTTCATCTCATTCTAAAATACCAATTTCATTGGTTATAGGTCTTCGTTGTTTTGGTTCCTATACCCATCAGTAAGCAGGAATGTATCTCTTAAAGTGTTGAAATGTCATCATGTTAAGAAGTTTTATTTTGTTATCGGCAGATACTTGAGAAACTAACTTAGGCGAAGATTTTAAAATACATTAACACACTACTCTCACCATGAAGTTCACTTATTTAGCCCTTAGTGTTTATTATGTTACCCTAAGCCTATGAAACTTGGTTTTCTTATGATAAGTTGAACACAAATTTCGGTATAAAAAGAAAATGTTTAGCTTCGACCATCAAGCTAATAATTTAGCAGCTCGTTACAAGAAGAGATTTTAGACTATTTTTGCACAAAATATGGAAGCAATCAAATTCATGAATCCACCATATACATCTCGGTGAACATTAACACTCATTTGTGTGATATTATGGTAAATATCTCATACCTAATCAGTGAAAAAACTCGTAGACTTACAGAGGAAATTTAACAAACTGGCTGAAGAATCAGCAGAGACAGGACTTCAAGAGAATATAGAGTAGAGGTAATTAAAATAACCACCAATCCGTATCAAGGGAAGAAATTTGAGAGAGGTCACTTCCTCCACCTATTTGGTTAGACGTCATCATGTCACCCACAGGTGACACCGATGAGGATGTCAAAACCAGAGTCAAAAAGGCATATCACACCTTCACTCTGCAACCAGTCTAAAAATCTTCTGCACTACACTCAGCATAAAATAACAAGATTCGGACTCGCGACACCAATGTTGAGTCAGTCAGCTCTTCTATGAGTGAGGAACTCGCTGTTTGCGTTATGAAACGTCTTTCCAACAGGATACTGCAGACTTTCAACAACAGCTTACTTCGCTGGCTGCATACTGAATATGAGATAGCCCATCAGAAGTACAGTTAACAACAAGAAATTCCGGAAGTGAACTAACCAAGAACCTACAGCTCAACAAACATAGAGAATGAAATGGAGATGAATTGAAAGCACACTGATGAGACCATGGAAGGATATCGCGCGCCTCGTAAACCCTTCCATGCAAACCAAATAGGAAACGACGAGTAAGGCGTGAGTCTGGGAATGAAATGGAGGAGATCGTGTGGAGGAGAGATAAGAGATTATGAGCAATCTTGGGGCCAGTTCAAGAGGACCGGAGGGAATAGGAAGAGGTGGAGATGTGTTGGTTAAGCTCTATGTTCCACCTGGAACCCAAGGGAATTATGATAATCATCATTATTATTAATGAAGATTACTGCAGTTTTACTGCTGTCCAAGCCTGAACTTTCATTTGTTAAGATTTTTGCACTAATTTGCGTGTTATCATAGATATCTATGTTTATATTGAAATTTTATTGAGGCTAATTGCTGAATGTGACTAAATGGGTAATTTTATTGCCAGTTGACCAGCCAACAAATATCAGACATTTTTTTATTTGAATGTGAATCACCTTTTCTTGTAGTTCAAAGTTAATGCATTAGCAGGCATTTTTTATTTTTGCAGTCGGTTTCTGACATAGCTCTATTACTTTACTTGATTTATTGGAGGAGATGTTATTGTATTTTGAATCTTGATTTTGTAGAAATCACTTTTTCTATCATTCATTCATGTAAACGTTTGGTTTTTTCAGTCTTATTAATTTATTTTCTCTCTTCATGATTTGTACTAACCAAAAGGTTGCTCATGCAGTCCCGGAATAACAGCGTCCTCATATAATGAAGGAGGTCAGTCCCTTTAAAGATAAGGAAGAAGATAAAACTTAAAAATTAAACACTGGATCAGGACAGAACTACCAAAGTCATTGATTTTCTCTTATAAATTCAAATCAAGTTTTGATATAAGACCAAAACTTGTGCACTGTGGTAGAGTGTAATTCCATTATGGGTAAATTTTGTTTTGATAAAGTCTCACAGTGTTATACATTAATGTTTACTGATGACGTTTCGAGCACAATTTATTGCTCATAATCATATGAAGGTAATCACGCGACTTCCTGAATTCATTTATAGGTAGAGAGAGAGGTTGATTACTGAATTTTTGTTCATTGAATCTACACCCAACACATGCAATAGGAATGATTCATCACTCATACCCGAAAATAATACTACCAATCAAATGAAGTGAAAATCAAGTGAAAAACAACGGAACTATATAAATGAATTCAGGAAGTCGTGTGATTACCTTGATATGATTATGAGCAATAAATTGTGCTCGAAACGTCATCAGTAAACATTACTGTATACACTGTGAGACTTCATCAAAACGAAATTTACCCATAATGGAATTCAAATCAAGTTTTCTCTAGCAAGTAAAAATCCAGACGTTAGTGAATTTCCAAAGCAGACAGGAGCAATCTTATTACAGCTAGTGAATTTAAGGCTTTCGTCGACTTTGAAGACATTCTTAAAAATCGATTTCACCGCAGATTCATCATTAACCTAATATATATATATATATATAATTCTAATATAATAACTTTCAACGTTCACTACCAACCACATATTACATTCATTATAAGACTATTAAGCATTACAGCAAGCTTTTAACCATTCTACCATAAGTTCGAGATTTTACAACTGATAAAATTCACTGATGTTTTCTTTGTTCTATATCGTGCTTACCATTAACAGTCGCACCCACAAGCATTCTACTACGATAACATTTCATGTAAAATAAATCAATTTTTTCGTTTTATAGCATCAGTTATAATTCATTACTATTATTATTGTTTCCTTTCATTCGTAGAGGAAAATAGGACTTCAGCCGTGCGTCTCCATTGCGTTCGGTTCTCTGCTGGAGTCTTCACCTGGCTCCATGTCTGCCCACACGCCTTCATCTCCTCTTCACATGACATCCTCCAAGTCACCCTTCCACTGACGACCAACTCGCCGCTTCCCTTTCGGGTTCCACTCAAGCGATGGCTTGTCTAGTGATGTCACTTGATGGTTTCCTCAGAGTATGGCCAATCCATCTCCATTTCTTCCTGCCTATTTGTTGCACAATCGGTTCCTGGTTGGTTCGCTCATTGCCACAGATCTCTGTTGCTGATCTTTTCTGGCCAGCCATCTGATCTTGAGTATTGAGCGAAGACAACTGTTAATGAAGGTCTGTAGTTTGTTTGAGATGCTCTTTATGACGCGCAGTGCAAGTCTCTGATCCGTATAGTAGCACTGACTTCACATTGGAGTTGAAAATCCAGATCTCATTTTTGATGCTGAGTGCTGTTGACCTCCAGACAGACTTGAGAGTAGTGAAAGTTTGTCTTGCTTTTCCGATTCTTGCTTTGATATTGTTATGTATGTGAATATGAGGACCTTGTAGACTACGAGCGAATCTAACTAATGCGCTGGGATCGTCGGCTGGGTAGCATCTCTTGTTTTGCTTCTGGTTTGACTGGTGGTATTTTGAAAGTTTCCAGTAGTAAATCCAGTGGCAGTTTAGGTTCTTGGGATGTAGTATATCGACGTCGTATCTGATTTTTATGTCTTATCCACCATTCATCCCCAACTTTAACCTTGTACATTAGAGTTCCATGTCGACATTCTATCAAGCCTTCGGCCCATTTTCTGTTCCTCGGTCGATAATCGCGCACATAGACGGCATCACCCTTGCGGTAATACTTCAGACTATTTCTTCGTTGATGTGACGAAGATGGTAACATGGAGTGGTGATGAGTTCGTAGCATTCGACCCATTAGAAGTTCTGCAGGGCTTTTCTTCTGTTCTGCCAGTGGTGTAGTTCGGTATACAAAAAGAAAGTTTTGTATTGCTTCCGGTTTCGCCCCTCCCCCTGCTTTCAACAATGCTCGTTTGAAGGTGTCGACAAATCTCTCTGCCTGACCGTTGGATTGCGGGTGATAAGGTGGCGTCCGCACGTGTTGTATACCGTTTCTCTTGCAAAATTCCTGGAACGCTTGTGCGGTGAACTGACTGCCATTGTCAGACACGATGATTTCTGGTATACCGTGGCATGCGAAGATCTTTTCCAGGACTGATACTGTTCTGCTGCTAGAAGGTGGTGTCACTTGTACTACCTCCGGCCACTTTGAGTAAGAGTCCACGAGAACCAAGTAGTATATACCTTCTATCGGCCCAGCAAAATCCACATGTAGGCGGGACCACGGTTTTGGCTTGGGCCATGCTCTTGGTGGCGGATCTTTGGCTGCCATGACAGACATCACTTTCAGTTTTTGAGCAGAGCCTCTCTTATTGGAGCTAACAGTTGCTACTTTGTTGCTACCAGACATCGAAGCACTTTTGGCGCAGCCATACTCACTGTGACGATTCGAAGTTGGTTTTTCATTAATCTCGTCATTCTTTCTAATGGGCTTAGGTTTAATATATCTGTCTCTGATTTCTGGCTTTCTTGTTGAGGGTTCAATACTTTCGATCTTTTGGCATACACTGCTTAACGGAATCTCTGACAGGTGCAGCTTCTCGAACCAGTCTAAACCCAAGAGGTCAAGGTTTGAATTGTTGATGTAGCATGTGCCGACGAAATGACTATCGCGAAAATCAACGCTGCATTTTATTTCTCCATTCAATCGAAGTCTTCCACCACATGCGCTAATTGCTATCTGATTTGTCTTCTCTATGGCAGGGCATCCCAACTTCTTCCATAATTTCTTTGATATTATTGTAATATCGGATGCTGTGTCGATTTGTAGGCGTGCCGGCCGTGTATTAATCGTCAGATCGATATATTTGCGAGGTGCTGGAGTACTAATATGATATGTGGCAGTAACACCCAAAGACTTCGGCTTGTTGCGCCGTCTGGGTCGACTGTGAGATCTGGGTCGGTTGTTGCGTTTGCAGTAGCCATCTTTGTGACCAACAGTATGACATCGACGGCATTTATGCTGTTTGAATGGGCACAAGTTTGCAAAATGCCAGGAGCCACAGTGCCAGCAGGCTGATGGTGGTTTATGCTGAGGATGAAGCGGTGCGGTTGATGTCGACGGTACTGGATGCACCGCATTCACTTCTGCTGCATTTTGGCTGCCAGACTGCACCAAGACGGTATCGTTGTGAATGTTGATTAAACGCTGATATTCTTCACCGACGTCTTTCAAAGTCATTCGTGGATCTTGTTCCAGACGATTTAATAGACGTGTGCGTATATCAGCAAATTTGGGAGACTGCAAACCACAAATGAAAATCAGTACCTTGAACTGGTCTTCTGAGAGTGATTTCAATTTAAAACGTTCACACGTGCGATTGACTATACCCAACTGAGTATGGATATCATCATTTTCGTTCAAAACTAGTTTCATGCAATGATATCGAATGTTGAATAACGATCTCTGATCACCAAACTGATGACGAAGGGTATGGACAGTTTCATCGAATGATCTTTCACTGGGCCTCTGTGGCAGAATTAAGTTGCAGTATTTATCTAGCTCATCTGCTCCCAATTTACGAAGTAGAAGCCGTACTTTCCAGGCATCATCTTTGTCCGCAAAGTCTACACGGAATAGGTCTTCATATCTGCGAAACCAGGTATCAAATGTTACTTTCGCATCTGGATCATAAACGAATTCTGAGATGCTACTGCCAATGCTGTCGTTGGCTGCAGATGAATCGGCAGAGCGTGATATCTGTAGACCAGCAAGCATTTCCATCAATTTTAGCTGCTGTTCCATTAGTTTCTCTAAACGCAGTGGGTCCATTTTCAGCAAACCCGTCGCCAAATTTGTTATGTATGTGAATATGAGGACCTTGTAGACTACGAGCGAATCTAACTAATGCGCTGGCTAATCTGTCCTGATCGCACGTCGACAACAACAACAATAATACCGCCGGGCACGCAAGACAAATAAAAGAGAAGACTGGACGTTGTTTGAGACAGTAAAAGCTCTCATATCAACGTCCAGTCTTCTCTTTTATTTGTCTTGCGTGCCCGGCGGTATTATTGTTGTTGTTGTCGACGTGCGATCAGGACAGATTAGCCAGCGCATTAGTTAGATTCGCTCGTAGTCTACAAGGTCCTCATATTCACATACATAACAGATATCCTCGTCAGTTCGACCAATAGTTGAAACCATTCTTCTCAGGTAGGTAGGTAAAGGAGGTTGTTTGTTTCAGGTTCCTCCCATTTATGCTGATCGTTGTCTGTTGTTGTTGTTCTTGTCCAGGAATCTTCATCACCTCTGTTTTCTCTATGTTAATTCTATTACAATAATTTCAACGTTCATTACCAACCACGTGTTACATTCATTATAGGACTATTCAGCATTACAGCAAGCTTTTAACCATTCTACCGTAAGTTCGAGATTTTACAACTGATAAAATTCATTGTTCTTTTCTTTGTTCTATAGCGTGATCACCATTAACAGTCGCACCCACAAACATTCTCCTATGATAACATTTCATGTAGAATAAATCAATTTTTTCGTTTTATAGCATCAGTTATAATTCATTGTTTACAGTTATTTCGTGGCTAAATTAAGTAACTTGTTCACAAACTATAGAAGTGGACAGTTAGCAGGT